TAAATTTTATGAATGTTTTGATGAAATTAAGCATTGAAACTTTGAGAAGTTTAACGCTCACACCATTGGTACAATGGGAATTTTGTAAGCTTTTCATGATGACGAAATACTTCTCCATTGAAGTGGCTGTGAAAAAGTCGTATTCCAAAACAATTGTGTTCTACTTGTTTCATCATAATGATCGTAGGCTCTTTGTAACAGCACAGAAATTATACACCTGATCATCATCAACTGTTCGATTGTCAGGCAGCTCGAAAACGTCAAGCAGAAGAAGAGGCAGCCATGATCCAAGATTACGAGGAACGTCGTCGGAGAGAACGTGAAAAAGAGGAAGCCGAGTTGAAGACCCTAAAGGAAAAAAAAGAACGTCGTAGATTGGAACGAGAAGAGGAAGAGCGACAATTCGAGGAGAGACGACGTCTCGAGGAAGAGGCCAGGCGACATGAGGAGGTCAGCTCAGGACTTGTGATTTTTTTAGTTGCTAATGAGGCGTGCCTTCAAATGGAAACGAATGTGGTCATTCCATTCGTTGAAATTTTTGAGTTATACGGAATAGTGATAACAATAAATCTATCAAGACATACTTTGGTCGTTCATCGCGATTGGACGAGCATCATGTTAGCCGATGGCATTATTTTCATTCATTTATTTCGGAATAGACTGAATATTGTCGCTAAACAACGATTCATTTGAAGCGATTGAGATCACAAGCGATCACACATGGAATGTGAAGATTAATCCTGAGCAATGCGTTTAGCCACAGACTCGAATCACAATGAATATGACATCTTGTCAATTTTTTAAATGTTCCATACAATAAATATCATGCGAATTTTGCTGCATTCAGGAGGAGCTGAAAGCTCGCATGGAAGCAGACAGACGCCGTAAAGAGGACGAGAAAAAGAGACGTCAGCAGCAATTGGCCGGAGCGTTTGCTTTAGCAACGGCCGGCAGGCGTAATTTTGTGATTTCGAAAAGAAAAGAGGATAAATTCAGTAATATTTGTCAGGTTACTTCTCTTACGAAGCATTCAAAATTGTCACTTTCAAGTCAGTTTGCCACTTAAATCAGTTTTTGACTGAAGCAATTTCTGCTCATTCATTCAATGTCGCATTCACTCAATTGTGGATGCGTTTCTACTTCATTTCCATGTGACTCAACTGATAACATTAGAATGACCGATAGCGTAATTGTAGAATGCGATTTTTCCAACAGATTCTCATTTAATCACCACAAAAAGCAAACCTGAAATTTCATGAATGGGACGGTTCAACATTTTGTTGATCTCCAAATTTCCTGTTAGTTCCAATCGACGGCTCTTGAAATGAATAGCCAAAACATTATTTAAATTGAGTTTCAGGCGAAACAAGAAATGGAAATGACACAAGAACAACAAAAAGAAGAAAAAGAAGACCTAATGGCCATCGTAAAACGAAGTTTGGAATATGGTGATTTGAGAGGGAATGACTTGAAGGAGAAAATCCGATCGATGCATCAACGAATATGCAAATTAGAGGCTGAAAAGTATGATCTGGAAAGACGGAAGGAACGTCAGGAATATGATGTGAGCTCGATTTGAGTCGTTATAACATCATACCAACTGATCATTCAGTTGATCAAACTGATCTGGTGACAGTCTAGCGAACTATGGAAATTTTAAATGTGCAAATTCAAAGATTTTCAGCTAAAAGAACTTAACGAGCGTCAACGTCAAAGGTTTCGCAATAATGCACGCAAGAAGGGAATCGATCCTGCGTCACGATATCCAGTAAGCGGTTGTTCGTTACGATTGTTTTTTGCTCCCTTGATGGATCACAAGGAAAAATTTGTCATATATGTAACTATTTGTCATGCATTATAGGTTTTGTGTTAGAAAATTGTTTCTGTAAAATTTGTTTACAATTCATTGCAATTGCAGCCGAAAATTCTACTGCTGAGTAAGTATGAAAAACAAAT